TTTGGGGGTGTTGGGTTCGGGGGTGCTGGGTCTGGGGGCGTTGGGTCTGGGGGCATTGGGTTTGGGGGTGTTGGGTGTGTAGAACATGGGGCACAAGGTCACCGTGGTCTGGGAGTGTTGGGTCTGGAGGCATTGGGGGTGTGGGGCGTGGGCTACAAGATCACTGTGGTCAGGGGGTGTTGGGTTTGGGGGTTTGGGGACGTTTGGTTTGGGGATGTGGGACATGGGGACATTGGGTCTGGGGGCGCTGGGGGTGTGGGACGTGGGCTACAAGGTCACCATGGTCTGGGGGTGTTGGGTCTGGGGGCATTGGGTCTGGGGGTGCTGGACAGGGGGGATGTGGGGTAGAAGGTCACCATGGTCTGGGGACGTTGTGTCTGGTGGTGGTGGGTTTGGGGACATTGGGAGGGTGGGACGTGGGCTTCGAGGTCCCCATGGTCTAGGGACACTGAGTCTGGGGGTGTTGGGTCTGGGGGTGTTGGGTTTGGGGACATTGGGGTGTGGGACGTGGGCTACGAGGTCACCGTGGTCTGGGGACGTTGGGTCTGGGGGCGTTGGACATGAGGGTGTGGGGCATAAGGTCACCGTGGTGTGGGGACACTGGGTGTGGTGGCGTTGGGTCACTGGGGGTGTGGGACACGGGGTCAAAGGTCATCATGGTCTGGGGACATTGAGTTTGGGGACACTGGGTGTGGTGGCGTTGGGTGTGGGGACGCTGGGGGTGTGGGCAGGGGGCAGAAGGTCACTGGGGTCACTGAGGACATCGGCCGTGGGGACAGTTGGCAGAGGGACAGGGGGACACAGGGACACCAGGCATGGGGACACAAGGGACGGGGGACAATGGGGACACGGGGACACCATGGCATTGGCACAGGGCGGTGTCCCTGTGGTCCCTGGCCATAGTGGTGATGGTGGCCATAGTGACAGGGGTGTGACCCGTGTCCCCTGTCCCCAGGGATGGTGTCCCTCTGGTCCCTGGCTGTGGTGACAGGGGTGTGACCCGTGTCCCCTGGTGTCCCTCTGGTCCCTGGCCGTGGTGGCCATGGTGACAGGGGTGTGACCCGTGTCCCCTGTCCCCAGGGATGGTGTCCCTGTGGTCCCTGGCCATGGTGACAGGGGTGTGACCTGTGTCCCCTGTCCCCAGGGATGGTGTCCCTCTGGTCCCTGGCCGTGGTGGCAGAGGTGTGACCCGTGTCCCCTGTCCCCAG